CATTCATTAATATTTAATATAATAATAAATAAAATTTAAAAGTTTATAGTTTTAATGATTTGACTTAATATCATTAATAAATTAATAATAAAAAATAAAAAATTATATAAAAAAATTTTATATTAAAAATAAAAATTAGATGTAACTATTAAGAGAATTACTTTTTGATAATTATTGCTCGAAAACTATCAACGACGGACGACAAATTGTCGTCCAGTGTGCAAGCATCTATTTAGTTCAATAAGCGACTGCATCGACGACACGACACGACAGTCGTTCGTCCCAGTCGATTTGGACGACTGCAACACGACACTTTTGTCGTGTCGTTTTAAAATCGTCCAGTGTGCCAGCATCCATACACTTCTTCAGTTAACTGCAAAATTCTTGTCGACCAACTTTTTGTCGTCCGACACAAATCGTATAGTGTGCCACGGGCCTTACTGTATATTCCCGAGTTTACCAGAGCTAGAATAATCTACAAAAAATTATTTGAGGATACATACCAAGAGCCACCATTCGATATGCATCTTTACAAAATCATTAATAATAACCATAAATAATTATACAAATTTTTACAACTTAAATATCAGCATTTAAAAAACATTCATACAATAAAAAAATATTTAATAATAGCAAAATTTTACATTACATATTACTTTCTATTATTTATAAAAATCGAAAATTTTTCGTTTTAGAAACGCTGGCTTCAATTTTCCAAACAAGAAAGTTAAGAGAGTCGAAAAAAAAAACTAGTAATTATGCATTATTTAATTTAATTATTTCAATAACTGTATATACGAAAAAAAATGAATCGTTTAAATAATAAGCTCAAACTTGGTTGGAAGATTAACATATTTGTAATAAATTACATATTAAAAATATATAGACTGTAAATTTTAATTCGGGAAACTGATCATCAAAGCAATTTATTATAACTTCAAATAATTGTAACATTTATTAATATTAAATGCAAATTTAAATTTTTCAACACATAATAATTCAAATTGATACAAATAACAATTTATAAAGGGCAAATTAATTTTTCGTTTCATTTTTTTTTTGTTTTAATACATTTCAAAACTATATTAAGTTAAAACACCTAATACAAAAGTTATTTTAAATGATAAATTATAAATATGTAAAACTTATCTAATAATCATTGGTTCTGAACCTGTTATTATCATTTTGAATCCTGTTTTTGTCAAGACATTACCTGATCCATTGGCTGTGTCTTAGGTGCGAAATGTAAACAAAACTTGCAAGGATGTATACAAAAAAGGAAAATTTTTTCGCTGCTCCTATTTCTATAAGTTTGAATCGATAATAGACATTTATCTTGAACAATGCATAACCTTCGCAGAGCTTACAATAGGAAAACAATGTAAACCAATGCATCGTCGATAGAGGACGCATGGAATATTTGTATATTATGGACCCAACCTGAAAGGAACTAATTCATTAAAATCTTTGTAGAAGTAAATTTTCTCCTTCCCTCTTGTGATCGTCCAAACGGTTCAACTCCTTGAAAATTCATGTTTTTAGTGTCATAGAAAATTGTTGTTTTTAAGGTTTCGTACCCAGTTGGAACCCTATTAAAACTGTTACGGAAAATGGCCATGTACCACCCCCCTAGCGCTCGCAGTTTTTCCTCTAGAGAGCTAAAAATTGGTACACGTATGTATTTTCACGCGTAGATTATAGAAAAGAAAGTGAACGTGATTGGGGTTGATCTTCATAGAGTTTTCCGCGAAAAACATCAAATTTTTGCCGTTTTTCGCAAAAAAGGACATGTCCCCCCATGTCCCCCCTCACAGTTTTTTGCCTAATAGAAATATGAAAAATTTTTATGCATATGTATTTTCAAATATGGATTACAGGAAAAATATAGCGAACACATTTGGTATTGATCTTCATAGTGTTTCCAGCGAAAAAATCGAAAATTTAGAAAAAAAAATGCTGTATCCCCCCAGGCGCCCACAGTTTTTACCTAAACATCTATAGATTGGCAAACTTATGTATTTTTTTGCGTAGATTACAGGAAAAATATAGCGGAAGTGATTGGAATTTATTTTCATGGTGTTTTCATCGAAAAACTAAAATCTCTTTTTGTAAGCTTGAAAATACTTTAACCCTTGCTAGTTCTCACAATCTATTGGACTGCAGTTTTACTTATTTTATGTATTTTCATGTGTAGATTTTAGGAAAAATATAACGAACATGATTGGATTTGATCTTCATATTTTTTTCAGTGAAAAACTCAAAGTTTTTAAAAATTTCATCAAAAAAGTGTGTATTTCACCCTAACGCTCACAGTTTTTTACCTACAGAGCTGAAAATTGGTACACTTTTGTATTTTCACGTGTAGATTAGGGGAGAAGCGGGTAAAACGGCGCATCGGGTAATTCGGCACACTCGCATTTACAAAAATGGAAGTATTTTAGAGAAAAAAAATATATTTTTACTTTCAATATTTATGTATTCCTTGAAAGTATGTAAAAAATCTAGACCATTTTCACTAATAATGAATTATTTTTTATGAAAAATAGTTTTTCGATGTTCTGCGTGCATTATGATGGCAGAGGAAAAACAGCATAAAATTGCTTTCATTTTTTTTTTAAATTGTTTTTTTTTTGGAATTTCTTACTTCGTATCTGTTGAATGGTTTACAAAAATTTACGGAGTTAATTTAAGTTAATTTTTGTTTAAAACAAGTATATGTTAGTTTAATATACGTGCGGGTAAAACGGCGCATATTAAATATAATTTACCATAACTCTATGTATTTTGAAAAAACATTTCAATTTATATTAATCAATAAAAAAGACAAAAAAAGATTATAGAAAAACTATCAGGGTCTTATTTTTTAAAAATTCAAGACTTTTTAAAAATCGGAAATAATAGTTATTGAGAATTGATTGTTATATTATATATAACATATAAATTATTATTATTATTTATAATTCATAATTATGAATTAAAATATATTTTTGCATTAAAATTTTTTTTAACATTGTAATTAATTTCCCTTTCTTTTTATACTTCAGGCTTAGAGTGCGCCGTATTACCCGCTTGGGTAGGGTAACTTGGCGCAGGTGCATTTTTTTTTAAACTTATAATTTACTTTTTTAATTAATGTCAATACGATTTTCACTGCACAATAAGTTAGTTCGAATGTTGAACTAATGATTTTTCATTATTTCGGTAATGATAACATTATTACTTTTATATAAATAATGTATTTACATTACATGCGCCGTTTTACCCGTCTCTCCCCTACAGGAAAAATATAGTGGAAATGATTTCACATGTAGATTACAGAAAAAATATAGAAAAAATTATTGGAGTTTGGAGTTCATCTTCATGTTTTTTTGCGAAAAACTAGAAATTTTTTTTTATTTAGAAAAATAGTGTCTACCACCTCCCTTGATTTTCACAATTCTTGGCGTATTGGACTACAGTTTTGCTTATTTTATATATTTCCATGTGTAGATTTCAGAAAAAATACACCGAACATGATTAGATTTTATCTTCATACTTTTTTAGTGAAAAACTCAAAGTTTTTAAAAATTTCGTCAAAAAAGAGTTTTTTTACCCTAGTGCCCACAGTTTTTTATCTGAAAAGATGAAAATTGGTTATTTATTAATTTTCACCTATAGATTACAGAAAAAATACAGCGAAAAATATTGGAGTTGATCTTTAATTTTTTTTTAGAAAAAAGTAGAAGTTTTAAACGATTGTACGGAACCCTCGGTTTTAGTACGAGTTCTACTCGCACTTGTCCGGTTTTTTATTATTATATTTTTTCTGAAGTGAGAGTAGTGTAATTACCAAAGTTAGGGTGTTAACTTTCAATAAAAATAAAGATTACAGTAAATTAGTTTTATGTCAATGGGAGCAGCGAATAATTGTCCTTTTTGTATACATTATAGCAAGGTTTATTTACATTTCACAACTTCTTGAACATAGCAAAGCAAATTCTAGTCAATTTTTCCGCCTCGAAGCACCAAAGTAAAGGGAATAAGGAATTCAGTCAAATTTCACACTTTAACTGCCTTGCAGATAATTTTGCTTCCAGTGCTTAGAAATAAACCTTCAATATCAGGAAATGTGCAACTAATGTGCAACTGTATAACTACAACCCATAAATTCTCCCTATATATATATATATATATATATATATATATATATATATATATATATATATATATATATATAAAGTAGAATGATTCTATGTAAAAACATGCTATAGGCATGCAGTTTCCAGATGCAAAAAATAATTCTTCAGATATTTCCAGTACTCTGTCTGTTTCTTTATAGAAACTCCTCCAGCTGATACACCGTGACTACTCTATCTCCTTTTTATTAGAATGATGAGTAGCATGGTATGAATACATCAATTGAGGCCTTGAATCGAGTAACTCGCCCGACGCTCGGAGGCCCGCGCTAATACCAGTCGGGTATCAGTGAGTGGCTCAAAGGCGCTTGTCTTGTCTCTTGTTGTAATACAGTTTTTTAGTTTTGCAAGGAGAAAATAATCGAATTTATCGTTTTTCAATTTCACGCTGTTAGAATAATCTGGATTAATGAATACTTTAGTTTTTCATTTATTACTGTAGAATTTAATAAATATTGAGGCCAAAAATTATTGAATATTAATTTAAATACCTAAAAAGTTAAAATTATTTTAATAATTATATTATCAATAATAATAAGGAATAATATATTTTTAAAAAACAATTTCACCAAGGTAACCCTTAAATAAAATACTGTGATGCTTCAGGCTATGAACCAGTTATAAGTACGAATAGTACCCAACTTTTATACCTGGACTCCTTTCCTATTTTATCACTATCATCCAAATTAACGGGATGAAAATTAATGAAATTTCTATAAGATTAACCTATATTAAGACAAGACATATTAATTAATAAAGTAAAGCATATTTAATAACATTTAATATGTATAAACTGTAGATTGCAGACTAAAGAACAGTAAGAAAGAAAAAGGATGTGATTCAGACTCTAATGAAGAGTCTGCCGAAGAGTGTAACGAAGCGTCAGACGAAGAGGTTGAAATATTCGAAAATACTAGAACATCTGGTTCGTATCATATATTGTGGTATTATTTATAAAATTGTTATAATATCTACTTAACACTAAATATTGACTTCCCAGGTAAAAATGATTCGTTCCAAATTCGTGCAGATTTTGCATGAAATTTCGATTGGTTTTCGTGCGGCGTTCTTAAAACGCTATTTTGTAGAGTATTTTGAGCGAATTGCGTACGCAATGTCAAAATCACAATCCATTGAGAAAATTTATGAGCGATAATGATTTTAAAAGATATGATGAAAATTATATTGCGGGGTGTAGTGCTATACTTACAATTAGTTTTTGGTTATTTTTATGGTTATATAATAACATGCAATTTAAGCTCCACAATGTTCTGTTCATTTCGTGGTTTATAATAATTTTATCATTTATTTGTTTAGGAAAAATAAGATTTTGTTTAAAAAGTTGCAAAAAAATTCATTTTACAATAATCATTTCAATATATTTCGATTAAAAAAAATAATGTTTTTTATTTTTCGTGGAAATTTTACGATTTCTGACCCAATGATGATTTTCTATTCTTGAATTAATCTCCTGAGCAAAGTAAGAATTTTTTTATAACTCCGTAATAGGGGAAAGGTGTACAAGATGATCCCCTGGGACAAGATGATCCTTTTGAATTTTAGAGAGCCTATTAGCGTAACCTTTTAGGCACATACGCTGCCAATGATATACCTATGAATCAGTAAAACTGTGATGACAACACGCGTCATTAAAAAAATTCTATTGTAAAAAATAAAAATTTCATACTTTTGATCTAAGGGGCCGTACACATAATACGTCACGCGAACAGGGGGAGGGGGGGGTCAAGACATTTGTGACGACCTATAGAAAAAATGGCGCTAATGTATGGGACAGTGTGTGACATGGGGGGAGGGGGGGGGGGTCTAAAATGGTCAAAAATCGCGTGACGTATTATGTGTACGGCCCCTAAGGAAAGCTTAACTTTGTACAGTGAAAGAATTTTGGGCAGGCTGCAGGCTTTACATGAGTGCCGCTAGAGCTCGCTGCCTAAAGCTCGCAGGTAACCTCAAAAAGGCGAGAATCTACTCCCGAAAAGTAAGCAGCAACTCCTCAGGGGCAGCAGCTCACCTTTCGGGAGTAGATGCTCGCTTTTTTGAGGTGAGCTGCGAGCCCTGCGCAAGGGGCACCAATTTCGGACATGAAAAGCCAGCAGCCTGCCTAAAATTCTTTCAGTGTACTTAGATAACTTTTGTTGTAGCAGCTGAAATTACATTTTTCTTGTACTCACAGCTTCATTATATCTTCAATTAAGTGTTCTGATTGGTATTATGGAATAACAGAGATCGTAGGTTAAATTACGAACAAATTACAAAGTAGTGGCAAGATGATCCCCCCCACCTTGGTCCCTCTAATCTTACTTTTGCAGCAATCACCTATTTTTCGCCTTTGGTATAAAAATAACTCATCTTCTAATACACGCAACGAAAGTACAGTATTTCTTATCTGTGTAGAGACTAGAGAGAGAAAAGTATGTATTTCCCGGCGAGCAGGACAGAAGGTACTTTTTCTCTTAGTGATAGATGTCACTAACAGGAAGGAAAAGTATCTTTCTCTCCCTGTTAAATTATTATTGAATAATAAATTTTAATTAAAATATGATCTACTATGAATCTCAAGTGTTTGGCATCACCATCACCAGTCACAACCCTTAATAATAGCCATACTACCACGATTGTACTTTCGGTATACGTATGTTAGAAAAAATTGTATTTGCAACTTGGGAGGAAATTGTATTTTCAAATCGTGTTTTACGTTTCTTGTTTTTGCTCGCAAGCACTCGCCTTCGCTTGGCGCTTGCTACGCTACAAACTGCAAATTATACTCGTGGAAATTAACCATTTTTCTTCCTAGATGCACAATATACTAATTCATTAATATTTTTACACACTTAATAGCGAAAAACACAAATTAAACCATTGAAATTTCTTTTTAATTAATTAAATATACAGCTGTATATTTTTTAGAATTACTACTGCTATCATTTTGATCGTTCATTAAATTTCTATAACATTTGTCTCCTATTTGCCAAAACAGAAGATATAAACACGTTATAAATCCAGATGTTCATTACATGAACATTTTGCTTCCTCTTTACGATCAGCAAAAAAATTTGCTTCCTCGTGAAAGAAGCATTAACTTTAATTATATTTATTTCTATAATTTTCAAAATAATATATACTTTATATACACCAATCGATTTGTCTTGATACAAAGAATAAGATTTATGATTTATTTTTCAATAAATAATAACATATTATTTTACAGCAACATGATTTTTAAGAAAAAATTAATTTTTATTAAAAGTGCAAATTTTTTGTCTATAATTGGTTTAAATTCTATAAATTTAAATACAATATATACTTTATATATACCAATCGATCCGTCTTGGTACAAAGAATAAGATTTTGGAAATAAATGAGTAATATTTTCTTATACAGCAACATAATTTTGCGGAAAGAACTCATTTTTTGATAAAAATGCGAATTTTTCAGCTTTAATTGTGATTAACTCTATAAATTCTCGTACAATTTACACTTTGCATAGACCAATCGATTCGTCTTGATGCAAAGAAAAAGATTTTATTATTATTAACTTCAATAATCAACTTAAAAAAAATTTTTAGAAAAAAGTCAAAACAAATTTTTTTTCCATCAATCCATTTTGACATATTTTTCTGATAAATATACCCGGAAAGTTTTAGCCGAGTTTAGCTAAATTCGTTAAAACCTCTTCGAGTTATCGTGTTCACAAAAAACGGGATCCACACACACATACATCCGGATAATTGTTCAGGGTCTTAGATAACATAGTCCTATATAGAAGAAAATTTGTTTAAAGGATTTTTAAAAATTTTGTAAATTAAACTACTACAAAACTTCCTCCACGAGGAAGCAAAAATATTAATTTTCAACAGAAGCAATTTAATAATATTTAATTGTTATAAACTATAGACAGTGAAACTGACAACATAGAAAATTCCAGTTCGGTCTCGCTAAGGGCATTCGAGTCATTTGAAAGAAAAAAACAAAAGGATTTTCATTCCAATAGACAAGGTATAACCGAATTTGAAATTTATATTATATTATACTATATAACTTACTTTTAAAAAGATAATATGTGATTTACCATTTACGTGATAAAGTAAATAATTATCAAAAGTTTAACAACAGTCTAAAAAGCTTAAATAATAATTAATCATTAAAAGTCTCATTTTTTCCTACTTTTCGAAAATACTTATTTTTTTCATTTGTGTAAAATCTTGCTATACAGTGTAATATTTAAACATGAATGTTGATATGAATTTAACATTTAAATAAATTGTAAAAATAAAACCCGCATATAGAACAATATTTTTTTGATAAAAACTTACTTTAAACTTAAAATGAAACATCACAATATTTCCTTTAAAAACTTGATAAAGACTTCTTATAAGCTTAAGGTAGTTCTCCGGTTGCTACTCTTGAAAAAATTGATTTTCGATAGATTTTCTTCAAATTTTGAGAAAATATTTCTATATGTACCCTTTAAATGTGGTAAAAATTTCAAAACCCTTTACGATGCTAAATTTTGAGTTATTCAAGTTCAAACTGTAACTTTTACATGCAATTATGTTAAAAATAAAAAATTTCAACCACAAAATCTTGTTTTTTGACATGGCAAAGGATTTTGAAATTTTTACCACATTTAAAGGGCACCCGCAGAAACATTTTCTTACAATTTTTAAAAAATCTATCGAAAATCAATTTCTTCAAGAGTAGCAGCCACAGAAATACCTTAAAATATTTAGATAAAAAACTTTCTCCAGAAACTGTTAACAAGTAACTTTGCATTTTCTAAATTTTAGAAACCAAAACTCAAACTATTAAGAAATCTTTCAAAAAACCGAAGATTACAAGCGAAACAATATTGGAACCGCCGTTACTTATAAAAAGTATGTCAAACTTATGTAAATTATATGATTTAAACAAATAAACAATATGGGACCATTGATAAACCACGAAGCTCCGATTTTTGAACTTTTCGACCCCTCCCCCCCTACCTAATGGAACGTAGCTTTTTTCTTTTTTTGTATATTAAAATCTCTTTTCGAAAAATAATCGCCAAGTCTTCACTATATTCGAAATATTCAATGAATATTGGTTTCAAATTCAAATAATTAAAAATGAACTTTTAATCAAGATAAATCTAACTCGAACCCAACCTATAATTCGTTTGCTTCTTAGGTACCTTTCTTAGGCGCGCGTCACATATATATATATTTTTTTTTTCATCACTATATGTTTTTATCAATACATATATGCATATATGTGGACGTCCACATAAAAAGGGCCCATATTGTCAATTCTAGTTTTCGAGATAATCGCAATCTAGTAATTTTGGAGCAAAATCTTCATTTTTTAAAACTTTTTATTATCAATCTAATATGTTTTGACAAGTCGAATCATGCGATTTTCATTAATTTATCGATAATTTAACTGTTTGATTTCATTAGTTCTTTTGAAAAATGAAAAGGGTCCATTTTGTTGGTCATTTGCAAAAGTAATCCGTATTTTAAAAATGGAGATGTGGAAAAATTTAAAACCTCTTGATTTTTCATCTTTAAGGTGTTCTGGACTGTAAACAATTCTTGTCTGAATAACTTCCCACAAGAATTCGATATTTAGTGAAATTTTTCGTAATAGAGACTGTTAAAAAATTTGTAATAAATTCAATTTCTATTCTTTTTCTTCAAATGACACAATAAAATTGTACCTAATCATTAATCTTTTAAAAAAATGGTTTTTTAACAGAAAAACTGTCCTTTTTAGAAAAGGGCCCATATTGTCGATTTTTCGTATTTTCAAAATTAAGAGGGGGGGGTGGTGGTTTTAAAAATTTAAAACCTTTTGGTTTTTTATCTTCACGTATGACGTGAATTGGAAAGAATTCTTATCTGAATAACTTTCAAGAAGAACCAGAGATACAACAATTAGTTGGTATCGCAATCTTTAATTCCGTTTTTCTCGAAATGAGGTTTTTCGCGTTCTAAACTTTGAAATTCCGTAACTCAGCGAATTTTTAACCAAAAAAGTTCTAAGACCACTCAAAATTATCCAAATTTTGCCAGGAATATGCCCATATAGATAACTCCAATAGTACCAAAATGGGCCCTTTTCATGTAGACGTCCACTTATATATCTCTCGAATTGACTTTCGAGCTACCCCCGTAATTTCAAAAAAATGTATGTCAAATAAAAATACAAAGCTACTAGTCCTGAACTGATTTAAGAATAGAAAAATGTGAAATTAACGAAAAAAATTTGCCCGCGTGAATAGTCGAACTTGAGACCTCAAGATTTTGAGAAAAATCTCTCCGCCTTATGCCACTCGGCTGTGGACGCGTTACGATATTACAGCTTAAGATCATATTTAAAGCGCTTAAAGACAACAGGCGCTATTTTTCTATTGGTTACTCTACGTCTTCTTTCAAGAACAATTATTTCCAAGCCATTAGAAAAACATCTGAAAATTCTTTAATAAAGATTGAACTTTTCTAAAAAAAGTTCTAAATTTTTTTTCATATCCTTAGTTCTTGAATAAGTTTCGTAATATAACTCTTGAAAAAAGTTTTTCCGTGTACGTTGCTCTGACTCAAAACCCTCCCTCCCCCCATGTGGTCTAACGTAGCACATTACCGAACCCCCTCCCAAAGCAAGCTACGTGGTTTATGGATGGTCCCTAAATAATTTTTTAAAACATTTCATTTTATTTAGAAAGCACACCTCGAGAACTACAAGGCAATGTTGACTCAAACATAGGAAGCAACTTAGATGATTCTGAAAATTTCTTAGAAGTAGATGATTCCAACATTGATACAAGTATGTTAATTTCTGTAGACCTGTAGGTTGAAACTGCCCTTAAAATTGACCTAAATTTTGAAGGCTGAGAGATTAGTTTGTCAATTTTTGACTTGTAGGTTAAAACTGCCCTTAAAATTGACCTGAATTTAGGTCAAATGTAACTATGTTCCCTCTACTATAAAGGGCCCTTAGAAATCCTAACTCTGCGGCGGTTAACTATTACATAAAACATTTCGACGCCGCCAGAGTCAAGATTTCTAAGGGCTCCTTATAGTAGAGGGAACATAGTCAAGGTTGGCCCACTGTTAAGCTAGGCCTATAGTCAGAAATAAGTTACATTTGACCTAAATGCAGGTCAATTTTAAGAGCAGTTTTAATCTACAGGGCAAAAATTGACAATTTTTTATAACATTTCATTTTATTTAGAAAGAACACCTCGAGAACTACAAGGCAATGTTGACTCAAACATAGGAAGCAACTTAGATGATTCTGAAAATTTCTTAGAAGTAGATGATTCCAACATTGATACAAGTATGTTAATTTCTGTAGACCTGTAGGTTGAAACTGCCCTTAAAATTGACCTAAATTTTGAAGGCTGAGAGATTAGTTTGTCAATTTTTGACTTGTAGTTTAAAACTGCCCTTAAAATTGACCTGAATTTAGGTCAAATGTAACTTGTTTCTGACTATGGGCCTACCTTAACAGTGGGCCAACCTTGACTATGTTCCCTCTACTATAAAGGTCCCTTAGAAATTCTAACTCTGCGGCGGTTAACTATTGTATAAAACATTTCGACGCCGCCAGAGAGTCAAGATTTCTAAGGGCTCCTTATAGTAGAGGGAACATAGTCAAGGTTGGCCCACTGTTAAGCTAGGCCTATAGTCAGAAATAAGGTACATTTGACCTGAATGCAGGTCAATTTTAAGAGCAGTTTTAATCTACAGGTCAAAAATTGACAATTTTTTATAACATTTCATTTTATTTAGAAAGAACACCTCGAGAACTACAGGACAATATTGACACAAGCTTAGAAATCTACTTAAATGATTCTGGAAATTTTTTTGAAGTAGATGATTCCAACAATAATACAAGTATGTTAATTTCTGTAAATATCAGGGTGACCGCAATTCAGAGAAAAAATGGAAATCAGGGATAAGTAAGGTAAAGTTATTAATAAAAAAGTCAAGGATTACACATAAAAAAAGTGTTTTGTAAGGTGTATCTATAGAGAAAAACAATGTCCGACCTAAAAGTTAGTTCGTGTTCCCTTTTTACAGGCATGGTGTGGGGAGGGGGGTTGATGTTTGAGAAACTGATTTTTATGGAAATTTACTTAATTTCTATAAATAAAGCTGAATTTTTCCTTCTTCTATGCTTCTTCTATGCTTTTTTGAATTCAGTGACTTTAATAACATAAGAATTCAATATATAAAAAAAAAATTAAAATGTCGGATTCAAAATGATGAATTTAAAAAAAATTGTTCAGATCTCCTTGAAACTTGTAACTCGGGAGTTTTTGTGGTCGCTGATTATGAATCTGACATCAGATTTTCAAAATTCAAAATGGCGGATCCAATATAGCGGACAAAATATTATTAAATGAATGAAATCGATTAAAACTTCCTATTCCGTGGGAATTTTTGAGGTCGACGAATACGAATCTGATGTTTGATTTTAAAAATTGAAAATGGTGTATTCAATTCGACTTACGATGGAATTGTTCTCAGATTTTCTAGGTTCTTGGTATTTAGGTGTTTCTTCTACAATCTTAAATAGTTTTTGACATATGTAAAATTAGTTTCCGTGTTTATTTATTTTCTTTTTTTCTATTTTTGCGACTAGGATACCTCGCCGTGGTGAAGGCAGGCAACGAATTCTCAGCTAAGTTTCTAGGTTAAAATTATGCCTTCATGGCAAAAGTAGAAAAGAAGTTTGCGATGCAGATGAGGGATACCTCAATATCGGCGATTTGTAAAAGCCTTGAACACTTAGCACTTCATTTTGAGATACGATATGTGTTTCGAGTATCCGTCTCACAAAAAGAAAACGTTTTATGTTTCTTATAAGCATTGAATCGCCTTTAATGTTTTAAAATATGTAATAAGAGAAAATGATAAATTATTTAGGGGAAAATTAGGGTATTTTAAAAATTAAAATTTGCGGACACCCTGACTGTAATAATTTATAAAAACAAAATTAATCTCATTGTCAATTTATATAATAATTCATTTATACTTTAATATATTAAATACTTTATTTTTTTAAGAAAATGAATATTATTTTTTGCATGAAAAATCAAATTTTTAATTCGCATCGTATAATAAATCCTCATGTATTAAAGAAAAGTTCATCCCGTTTACATAAATTGAATATATTTTAAAAGATTATTTCATTAACTTGTTCTACATGAATATTATTTCAAATTTAAATTTCTATTAAAAATTCCTGTGATTCAATATTTAAATCAATTATAAATATAACCTACGTAACAAAATATTTTTCCCCTAAGCTTTTTTTAAACTTCCAATATTATAATCTTGAATTTTATTCGAAAACTTCATAAAGATTTATCAAAGTTTAAAATATTTGTCTAAAATAAGGTTTTTCTTCATACTTAAGGAATTTGTTAACAAATAACTTTGCACTTTATATATTGTAGATCAATCAACTGTTATGATGCAAAATGAGCCTTCAACAAGCTGCAATGAAAAAAAAAAAAATTCATTCTTCGATTTATCATATGATACAAATAATGAATGTTTAAAAAATCTCACTAAAACAATAGAAAAGTCAATTCTATCAAGTATGTATATTTTTTATAACAGCATTAAAGGCACGAGCAGTAAATTCTCTCTAACCTCCCTACGGTTTGTCCCGAGTAAACTCGGGGTAACTAAATATTTTATAACTCGTCAACAATGCATTGGAATTACATAATCTAAAGTGGAAATTGAAGCTAATGCTCTAAGCTTTTCAAAAATATTTGTTAGCAATAATGATAAAAAAATGTTTATCAAAGTTACATAAGTTTAAATGTTAGTTAAACCATCAAGTTTTTTAAGAAGTGAATAATATGCATTTAATTGAACGATTAAACGAACTTACCTAAGTGACGTTCAATCGAAATTATGCCAGTGAGTCTCGTCCGAATAGATCAAATGTAGTAACGCTAGTTGCTCGATCCGATCCACAGATTTTTAAAGCTCGCGCCAAAATACTTGTCCCTCTCACACTAGGGGGCGTACTTCCCGCTGTCTCCTCATTACGCTTTTTAATTATTTTTTGTTTTTTAAAATCGCAGGAGGGTTAGGAAAGGGTGGGAGTGATCTATTCGGACGAGACTCACTGGCATAATTTCGATTGAACGTCACTTAGGTAAGTTCGTTTAATCGTTCAATTATGCTACGTGGTCTCGTCCTCTAGATCAAATGTAGATGTTTAAAGCATAACTGTGATTTGAAAACAAAATTTATTTATTTAAGTTGAAGCAGTGCTCAAAATGGCACTCGCGAAGTTACAGTTGTCCTCCCTTAATGGGCGGTTATAAAATTGAGCAAACATATTAGAGTTTTGTGACCAGCCGGCAGCTTGTCTGATTTTTTCCAGGCTGATTCCTTTTCTATGGGCGGCAGACACTGATGCGTGTTTCGCGCTGTATCCTGAAAAATGAGACGTGTCGATGCCGCTTTCGCTGAGAGTCTGCTTTACCCATCTACTTATCGTCTGAGAAGTGGCAGTATGATGTGATTTTTTGATTGTCAGGAAAAGATATTCTCCGTCTTTGGGCCTGATAGCTTCGGTTTTGTCGAGATAATCTTGCAGTAGGCTAGCAACGCATAATTCTGGCTGCTGCTTGTAAAATGGGAGATGAAGCAGCGGCTGTTCCTTTCCCACTTTCGAAGTTTTGAGCCTGTCGATGATATCTATTTTTCTTTTATCTTGTAGAATTTTTATGTTTGTTACTTTGATTTTTGCAATCGTTTGAAGGCGTTGTGCAGTCACTAGAACCAGTAGAGTACAGAGTTTCCTCGTTAATTTTTCTAAACTTAAGGTGTTGTTAGGTCAAAATGTCGATAAGTGTCGCAGAACAGGAGCAGGGTCCCAAATGTCATCGTACTTGGCACGTTGCGGTTTTGAGATGGAGACTCTTTTGCAGAACCTCTTAGCTAGAGGGTTATTCCCTATGTCATAGTTCAAAACTGGTGAAATGGCTGAACGGTAACTGTTTACTGTGCCATAAGATTTCGCTGAGTCGGCGACGATGGTTAAGTATTCGAGAACTTGTGGCAACGGTGCGGAGTAGATTGACAAATTCCTTTCTTCGCAGAATTTCCACCACAAACGCAAGGGTTTGTCGTATTGTGCGTATGTAGCGTCTGACAGCGACTGGAGCATGATGGATACCGACGACTCTGTAACTCCTTGGTTTAGAAAAGCTTTCCTGATAGCAATCCTGCTACCAGGGAAAACTTCTTTGCGAGTGGATGTTTCTCCCTAAAAGGACAAAGAAGAAGGTTAGCATTTGGTTTTAAAATCAGCGACTTGTTTACTAATAATGTGTTAAATAGGGGAAACCACGTTTGGGTTGGCCAATAAGGTACTAAAACTACTCCTTCTGCCTTGTCTTGTATTATTTTTTCTAGAGTTCGGAGAATAAGGGAGAAAGGTGGAAAATCGTAAAAATGATAGTGACCCCAGTGGATTGTGAAAGCGTCAGTTGCAAAAGATTCTGGGTCTCGTTTCCATGAAACGAATTTACTGCACTTTTTATTCGAGTTGGGTGCGAATAAATCTATTTGAAAATTTCCGAACTCATTTTCTATTTTCCTAAAGGCCCACGGTGCCAGTTCCCATTCAGTCTCGTTAGGCAAAATTCGAGATTCTCTATCGGCTACCGCGTTGTCTGATGAGGAGATATACGAGGCGAAGATCCAAAGGTTCCTTCGCTCGCACCATCTCCAAATCTTCTTACATAAACTGGTCAGTTTAGGATATTGAACACTGCCCATTCTGTTTATGTAAGAAATCGCGGTAGTGTTATCTATTCTTAGAAGGATAGAGCACGAATTTAGGTTCCTGGCGAAGCATTGTAGACCATAAAACGCTGCCAGGAGCTCTAAATGGTTGATGTGGAGCTTTTACTGTTCCGTGTTCCACCAACCATGGAGTTTTTCTCCTTTTGAAACTGCTCCCCAGCCCGTCAGAGATGCGTCTGTAAAAATTATGCACGAAAATTCTGAAGGTTTAATAGAGTTTGTCGCAGAGAAAATGTTTTCTTTCCACCAATTAATGTCTGGAAATGATTCTTTTGAAAGACGCATTTGTTTATCGAAGTTGCCGTTTTCTCTTTTTAGGGACAGGAATTTTTCCCTTTCGAGATGCTTCGTGTAAAGTAAACCGTGTTTGACGGCTGGGCAAGCTGCTACCAACGAACCTAACAATTTTGCTAAATCTCTAATTTTAATTTTTTGTTTGTTACAGAGGGATTGTGTGTGTTGAAAAATTGAATTCTTTTTCTCTTTTGGAAGCTCGACTATCATTTTTTCCGTATTCCAAATGAAACCTAAATATTTACCTATCATAGATGGGGTTAAAACGGATTTTTCCCTGTTAATAATAAAGCCCAATTCTTCTAACAATTGAATTGTTACATTGATATTTTTTAGGCATTGATCTTTTGTTTTCCCAATTAGGAGAAAATCATCTAGATAAATTACCGAGAAAAGCGACTGGGACCTAAGTTTTTCGGCTACGGGTTTCATAATTTTTGTGAAGATAAACGGGGCAGTGCACAATCCGAAAGGAACGCAAAGAAATTCGTAAAAATTTCCTGGAAAGAAAAACCTAAGGTATTTTCTGTCTGATTCTGTCACTGGAATTAAAAGAAAGGCATCAGATAAATCTAAAGTGGCCATAAATGCGTTTTCGAAGAGCATTCTAGAAACTATCTTCCTGTCTTCGAGTTTAAAATGGGGAGGATATAAAAATTCGTTCAATTTTTTCAAATTTAGAATGAATCTTTTTTCCCCATTTGATTTTTCGGTGAGAAAAATGTGGAAATAAATTGTTTTTTGTCAGGTGAACATTTGGAGACTGCTTTTTTCCCAATTAGAACATTGATTGCTTTTTCGCAATCGATTTTCTCTTGTGTAGAGAATTGGACCTCCTTTGGAGGTTGACTCTGCCATGGTTCTGTTTTGAATGGGATTTTATATCCCGTGACGCAGTTTAGTATGAATGGGTCACCTGTCAGTTTTGACCAATTGTGTCGGAACAATTTTAACCTACCGGCAATTGAACTTACCTCGATTATCGGCGAGGCTTCTCTCGGAATTGGCTCGGGTTGAATTTCTGCTTCTGCCCCCTCCGTTGAGTCGGCTTGTAGTTCCTTGCGGGGGGGCCTTTGAAGTTTAAATAATTATTTTTCTTGTTATATTCCGTTGATGGTCGAGTCGAACGAGAAGAGGAAGGTTTTGAAATCTCTTTCCCAGATTTTTCTGCAGCCTTGGCGGATTTCAGCTGTTCTGGAAAGTTCGACCCGAAAAGAAGAGTGTCGACAGGGCTTTCCTCACTAATACACTTGACCAATGGACTTAATCCTGGCGTGATGAAAGCGCGCCTTGTCATAGACATTTTGTGGTGTAAATCCGTGAGGATTCTGCCAGCGTCCGTTAACAGGCTGATAAACTCAGAAGCTTTGTCCGCAGGAAAGTCGTCTTTGGGAGTAGATAATAATTTCGATAGACACTGACCCAATGCGATGATACCAGCGCGCAGCTGGTTTTGATCGAAAACTTGGAAACTATCCTTTTTTAATGAATGCTGTCCTACCACTGACTTGATCTCAGTATTTAACTTGGGTGCTTGAAGCATCGGACAATTTTTTGAGACCGGGTATTTTTCTTGAAGTTCTTTTTTCATTTCCTTTGGCAGTCCAGATTTTAAAATTTTTGTCCAAACTTCCGCCAAAGAATCGTTTATGTCAGGTCCTAGATTGGTATTCTCTCCTGTGTCTCCTAGAAGGTTAAGAGTTTCAGGAGGGAGAACACTGTTTTCGGTCTCTGCGTCGTTTCGTTTTGTTTCGAGTAATTTCTGCCGCTTTCGGCTTTTGTCACGCTCATGATTTCTTGAAGAATCGCTTGATGAGGATGTTCCCGAAGATGTGCTCGATGTCGATGATAATCTCGACGATGAAGATGATTTTTTAGTTGGCGATTTCGAAATTGAACGTGAGCTACTACGACTGTGGCGTGGCGTGCCTCGCGGGTCACGCTCGCCGCCATCTTTGTCGCGTCTAGATTTGGAAGAGAGTGATTTTTTACGCGGTGGTGATCTAGAGGAAGAGCGACTGTAACGTGACGATCCTCGCGGGTATCGCTCGCCGTTATTCTTATCGGTCCTCTTTCTAGATTGTCCTTGATGCTTTCTTTTGTCCGGGGAGCGTGATTTTTTCGCCTTTTTTCGAAGCTTGCTAACAGCAGCGTATAATTCATTGAGATCCTATTCACGATGCCTTTTTCAAGATTTTCTCTCGTATGTTGATGAGTCTGAATCCTTACCCATGGCACTAATTGGTTGGATTCCACGAAAAAAGAATGTTTTACTAACAATTTTGCTTGACTATGAGAATAGATGTTGACCGGATCGCACAGAAAAGCGTAATGAGGAGACAGCGGGAAGTACGCCCCCTACTGTGAGAGGGACAAGTATTTTGGCGCGAGCTTTAAAAATCTGTGGATCGGATCGAGCAACTAGCGTTACTACATTTGATCTAGAGGACGAGACCACGTAGCATAATCAAAAAGTTTATGAAATCAGCTTATGAAAATCATTACTCAGAAGGTTTTCGGGGTCGCTGATTACGAATCTGGCATCAGATTTTCAAAATTTAAAATGTCGGATCCAATATGGTGAACATTTTTAAAAAAAAATTTATTTTTAATCAAAATTTTTTTTAATATACTATATTGGATCCGCTATTTTGAATTTTGAAAATCCGTTGCCAAATTCGTTATCAGCGACCCACCGTAGGAGAGTTAAGGTGTGATGTGAGTCAGTATAAACTGCATGAAAGTCATTATCGAAGCAAAAACTTTTAAACCTACACGGAAAGAAATCTGCTAGTATTATATCATTGGGCGGCAAATAGATTTATTCCATCGGACCCCCACCACTACTTTTCAGGCCGAGTGATGTCAGATGGCATAAGTCTATTGGCCACCCAATGGTATAATACTAGCAGATTTCTTTCCGTGTATTTTAAACTGCACTTTTCGTGCAGTTACTGAAAGTTATCCACTATCGGTAAAACAGTTTGACGTTATCTGCTTTCAGACCTTAGCACAATTGAGTCTGTTACGGGAATGCTTCTGAGCATTCGACGAATTGACGATTCGACGTTTTGAACATTCGACTACTTTACCATTCAAAAGGCCTAAGCACAATAGGTTCGCGAAAGTCGTTCGCGAACGCAAAGCATGAGTTAGAAAAGGACAGTGATATATTTGTGTCCTTGTCTATCTCATGCGTCTAGTTCGCAAACCTATTGTGCTTTGGACTTACTACTTGACAATTCAAACAGATGGGGTTTCGACTATTTGTCCATTCGACTACTTTATTATTCTACTAATTGAAAATTCATCAAATCATATTATGCTACATTTAAACTTTTATATCAATCAACTATATAATCTATCTTTTGAATGAACTGTAAATTCTACCCATATAGAACAATATTCCCCAAAAAGTTACTTAAAACCATCAGTAAAATATAAATAGGGTTCCTTTAAAAACTTAATACTAGCTCCACATGAACTTGAAATATAAAAAGGAATAGTCTAAAATTTGAAACATTTTTTTAGGTGTTTACTAAAAATAAACCAAATGCATTTTACTTAATAAAAATAATCAATACTTATATTCACAAAATAATTAATCTTCTTTTTATTAAAAATTTTAAAAAATGCTTAATAAAATATATTCATTTTATTTACTCGCCTAAAACATTTCATCAATATTTTTTAATCCACACAGCATTATATCTTCTTTGACCTTCAAGAAATTTTAAACTGCCAGCACCTTAAAGGAAGCTTTCACTAGAACTTAACGGAAGGCTTTGTCCTGAAATAATAGAGAATCCATCTTTAAGATTTATTGATATTCTAGTGAAAGTTTTATTGATACGAACCAATAAAAGAAAAGCTTCTAAGAAAATATCGTGCTGTGTGGAAATTAATTAAAGCAAATTTAGTAACATCAATTATTTATTAATAAATTTTAGATCTCTATAAATTATTCGATGAAAAAAATGTTAAGGACATAAATTCCAACTCAAATGTAACAAATAGTATCGGGAATGCTGGACTGGAAGAAACAGCGATGACAAATGGTACATAACATATTTTTTTTAAACTAAGGCGTGTTGTAGGGGAGACCGGGGCGTAATGGCTAACTTTTTACTCTTAGTGGTTTTACTCGGACATTTTTGTTCTAATTGAATGTTTATCTCTCAGAAAAGTTACTCTGTTATCTCAGTTTTCTTTTAAGACTACAAACGTTCCGATATGACTTTTACTTTTTATTCTACAACAGTTTTTCTGGAGCAATGCAGAGCTCCAAAATACGCCCCGAGCCGGGGCATAATGAATAGTGATTGCTAATTATTATCTACAGTTTCCAATCTTATTGTATATTGTAAATTAAGGATCGTGGGTATTCCGTGAATGCTATTTTTATTCAGCAATACTTCTCCTATCGCTTTTTCAATAATATTCTGTGATATTGGCACTCTCTCAATTTTTTTTTGTAATTTCTCATTAAAATCGTAGCTTGAAATCTACTATTTGTAAATTTTAGACCAAAACTTTAAAATTTTGTTAAAAAAAACTAGCCGCGCGACACACATTCACCACTGATAGTGGGTCACACGGCAGTTCCGACTTTCTAAATTACCATACCAATTAACGATCACGGTTCAGGCATAATTCCGACAGATGACATGACGATTCAGAATTTCGACAAAATAAAGAACGACAATTCACTTCGTCACAATATTAATGAAACTTCCGACAAATTTGCAATATACCTAGTACAATAACTTGTCTATTGTGCGAAATTGAGGGCCTGGAAAGCATAACCGACGCTGTGCTTACGCGCAAGCTCCTTGCGCAGCAGGAGTCTGCCTCACGCAAGAACTTAGGTTCGAGAGCAGCGTCGGTTATGCTTTCCATGCCCTCAATTATTACAATTTACGGTTTTTAAACAAATTACAATTATTCATTACGCCCCGGTCTCCCCTAATCACTCTATGCTACCTGTTCCCCCAATACTAATCAATAAAACGTCCATTATTACCATAGGGTAATAATGAGTGCTTTATTGACTGTGCTTTACAAGAGGAACTTAGTATGCGCCTTCTATAAATTTTAAAGTGCCTGCGCCTTAAAAGAAGCTTTTACTTGGACTTAAAGAAAGGCTTCTTCTAGAAATTATAGAAAATATATGTGACGCGACACGAGAAAAAGGACCTATCGTTAAAAAAATCGATTTTGAGATTATGGTACTATTCGACAGATTATTCTTTGCTCTTTCACATGAAAAAATCAAAAGTTGAAAAACTTAAATAGTGTTAATAATATAAAGCCCGAAAGTTAAGCATGTACGCGTAAATACACGGGTTGTCTGCGCATGGCGTCGCTTTAAACGCTCTCCCTGTAGAATTCTCTTTTGCGGCGATAGGTCCCTTTTCTCGTGTCGCGTCACATATATATATATATTGATATTCTAGTGGAAGCTTCCTTGGTACGAACCTATTTAACTACCAGGAAGTTTCAGATAGAGCCTCTATTAAAGAAAAGTTTCCAAGAAAATATCGTGCTATGTGGAAATTAATCAAAAAAATTTAGTAACTTTGATTATTTGTTAATAAATTTTAGATCTCTTCGAATTAAGCCAGGGAAAAAATGAATACGACACAAATACCAACAACAATGATGAAATGGAAGAAACAGCTACGGCAGATGGTACATAACATATTTATTTTCAACTAAGGCGTGTTGTAGTCACTTTATGCTACCTGTTCCTCCATATAACCCAGCTGATCAATAAAAGGTCCATTATTGACCTAGGGTAATAATGGGTGTTTCATTGATTGCTGAGTTACAATAAAGGGGAACTTAGTATGTGCCTGTAGAGGTAGGTAAAGTGACTATTATACTATTGAGTTCCTTTCTTGTCTATTTCGCCTACAGTACTTCCTTCGCCTGTAAAGTTTCCTTCGTTGAGGGGCTTTCTACAACAGCTTTTTTTCATCGACAAGAGCAAAATGCACCATGCAAAATAGTTGCGCGCGCATCGTTTTCACACTGATTTCGATGAAAAAAAAGCTGTTGTATCTGAAAGTACAGTGAGTTCTCGCGAGTCGTTCAACAGCTGATCAGTGTCCGATTCACGAGTGACTTATGCGTTGAACGACTTGTGAGTTTTATGATATTGAAAATTTTAGAGAATAGAACAACTCGCGAGAACTCACTGTACCTCCTCTGACTTCTTTCTCTGCGCTTCGGCCACCAATTCTTTCCGGACTGTTAAAGCTTTTTCTGACTTTTTTGAGACTCTATAGGAGCACACGTTATTTACTGCCTGTGGATACGATCTCTTTTGTTCTTCGGCTCTTTTCGTTTTTTCCCCAACTGATAAGTCTATTAGTTGGGACATTCGTCTATAACATTTTTTATATATTCAGTTCTAAAGAGCAAAAAATTTCTGTCTGAGTTGTTAAAAAAATTTTAATTGCTTAAAAGCAAAACTGATTTTGAAAGGATTAATTAAGTAAGCTTATACTACCAGTCACAATATTATGCGACTACCCTTTTTTTAACCCTCCGTCACACACCACTGTTGGTTAATGACAAAATTATATTATAAATATTTTATACAAATCTTTTTAAAAAAGTCATTTTCAATGCTAAATAGAAAATTGAATTACTTCTAAAATAATTAATTTTAAATGTTTTTAAGAAAAATATTTTCTATAAATCTAATAAAATTTAAGCATAATCATTTTCATGATTCATCATCTAAGCATTAACGTAACATTTTTTTCTTAAAAATTGCAATCTGTCATAGTCGTATCAAAAAAATTTAAAGAAGAAGAAGAAGTTAAATATTTCGAATCTCTTTGGCACAACTTTTTGAAGACTTGCTCATTCTCAAATAAAATAACACTTTAATACTTACAAGTAATTTATAGTATACAGAAATAAACCTCTAAAATTACTATACGAATCTGTAAATGCATATATTACGTAATTCAATTTTTAATGGAATACCTATTAAAAATGAAACACTTTTTCATATATCCAAGAAGACTAAATAAAATAATAAACAAATCACTTGTTTAATGTTTTGTTCTTTTAATAGTCGCCTGTTAAATAATAGAACATAAAAAATTTTACTTTTCATACATTCTATGTTTTAAAAAGTTTTTCATACAATGAAAAAGGGCAGTCACATAAGTGTGACTGATAGTGTAAATATATAAAAAATTAATATTTTTCCTTTATTTTGAAGGTGCTATTGTTTCAGAAGAAACCAAAAAAAAGAGCAGAGAAGAAAGAATTGGAATTAGAGGAAGAGCCTGGAACTTACATTTAAAGGAACAGAAAAAAAGAAGGAGATCGGAGAAAAGAAATAAACGATTAAAAATAATTAGAGACAATTTGACAAGGGATAACCTCAACCAGGTCTCATTCATTCTTTACATAATTTAATTAACTATTTTTTGTAACACCTGCAAGAAAAGTGCTACTCTCTAAAACTGAATCAGTGAAAAATGACTGAAATTTCAATAATTTTTAACTGATCTTTATTGAAATTTCACTGATTTAGATTTAGAGTGTACTTTACTTTAATGTAAATGCAGCAGAAAGTTGTTGATTTCTGTACTTTGAAATGAGAACCTACAGGAAAATATACTTTCTTGCACTCTTCTCTGCAAAGCATATTATACTATAATATACCCTATCGAAAATTTCACCAACAAATGTGGGTTTCATGAATGTTTGAAAATAATTTTATTTTGTTTAAACACAAATCTCTGTATCTTGGAACATACTTCTATAATTAAACATATTTTGAACACACTTCTAACATACTTTTTATAGTAAGTAAATGATTCATTCAACTCTATTTAAACATACTACTCACATAACCTACATAGCACAATTTTTTCTGGAAAGTTTCCAGGAAGTTTCCCACGTTAAGTTCGGAAATTTGACGTGTTAAGTTCCTGGAAACTTCCAGGAAACTTGATATGTCTCAAGATTTAAAGTTTACACTGTTAACTTCCAGGAAATTATCAATAGAATTTTCCTTGAAAAAGGACTGGAAATTTCCTGAAAAATTTAAGGAAGTTTTTTTGGAAGTTTCTCTAAAATTATTTCTGTTAATTTCACAATTGTTCAGTAAATGTTTTTAGAAAATTTCCCCTAAAATAGAAATAAAAGTTTCTTGTATAATTTATTCGTTAATTTTACATGAATTATTATTCAAAATAATAATAAAAAAAAAAAAATTAAAAAAATTATTTAATTAACTTATTCATACTTTTCCCGCAGTTGTTTCTACTATTTTTGTTTTTGGAAACCTTATATTAAAAAAGACAAAGTTGAAAATAAATTCGGGGGAACGGGGGATCGAACGCGGGTTTTGACGGACGCAACGCAACTACCTAACCAACTACGCTAAACTAACAAGTGTGTAGAGAAAAAAAAATCATAAGGTACAAGTAGTCTTAGTGGTTGGTAAATATGAATGGCGGGATAATTTAAAAACTTTATTCTCACAATTCAAATATTTCTTATATATAACTGTTAGAATTTCATTTTTATGGAGATTAATAATTTTAAATAGTGCTTATTACTGATTATTTTATACATATGAGAATAATTAAACAAGTAATACAAGCAGTTTTAATACGTGAAATTAAAATATATTAAATACAAGTTTTTCTTTACCAGCATTAATTCTTTTCATTGAAATAGTCTGCCTATTGAAATTGAAATCAATTATAATTTCTTTCTGATTTTGTTACTACACAAGAGTCATTATTCTTTTTTCCTACAGAATACAAAAATTTTTTGTGGGTGATAAAAGTAATCATTATGTTATTGTTTAAATTTAAACTAGGAATTAATTAAAGGTGAAGAAGCTATCAATTTTCCGAATCAATTTTTAACAAATAAATTAAATATCTTAAATAAATCTCTATAATCTCATGGGCTTCATATGTATCGACAGCACAACTATCCTAATACAGAAACCTGCTTAATATGAAAAATATTTTCGAAATTAATTAACAATTTCAAAATTATCAAAGAACTCAAAAAAACGGTAGCTCCGAATTCTTTGACATATACTATCCCTTCCTACGTTATTTTATGATAACGTTGGAAGTTTCTTAAAGATTTCTTAAAGATTTTTCTTAAATTTTGACAATTTAGATATTAACTTGATATAACTTTTTTAACAAAGATTTTTAAGTAACAATAAAATGGGGTTACATTGTCTACATAATAAGAAGTAATTTGAACTCTTACAGGAATATGTGCCACTTATACACTAGGAATGCAGTGACTTCAAAAGTTAAATTTAAAAACGAAACTCATAATAAAAACCCACATTTTTGAAGGGCACATGTTGAATTTGACTTCTAATCACTTTTAACTCATTGTAATCTCTTCTCGTACATTATAAAAGTATACAGAAAAATCGTTAACCTCTACACTATTCCTAAAAAGAATTTATCTAAGAAAGAATATGAGCTTCTACTGTCATAATCATTGCTTCATAGAAAAAGAAAGCATTCAACTCGCAAGTTTGCCTAAAATTTATTATTTATAGGTTTCTGGGGTCCTCTAATAACAAATCTAAAGTTAGTTAAAAAAATTTTAAATGGCGAATCCAAAATGGCGGACGAAATTTTAGAAAAATTATCAGATTTTAATATCTTTTGACATTTAAGAGTTTCCTGTTTTGGTGATTACGAATTTGAAATAATTTTTAAAAAATTTTAAATAGAAAATCCAATATGGTGGATACATTTCTGAAAAATCATTCATTTAATTTATTATTTACATTTTTATTCTGTTTTTAGAATTGTAAACTTCTTTTTTTCTACATTTCCATGGTAATATTATTTTTAATGTGTCAAAATGTTTTGATTGCCGAATGTAGATATTATGTATTTTATATTTAAATAATATTAATTATGGATAAAGAAAGGGAAGTAAAACTTTTAATTGAACGTTATTCATTTTTTGTTCATACTGTTTTTACTTTTAATATAAAATAAAACTAGAAAATTTTTTAGAGTATTAAAATAATTATATCTACCAAAATGGGACTATCACTTTACCATAGGTACATGTCACGCAGCAACGAGTACAACGACTCGCCCAAAAACTTTTGCGTGTACTATTTAGAAACACAAATTAAACACAGTAATTTCTAGATAAAACTATAAAAAGGTTGTAAAGAGAATGTTAAATATATGTTTAATTAGTAGATCAGAGTTTCATAAATGTGAAAAGAGTGTTTAATGAGTATTTTTACCTGAACATTTTGTGTTCTACAAACACACTTCTGACGCACACTTTAGTGTTTTCCAAACACTCAAAGCGTTCTAAAATACACGCATTAGACACTCTTTATTGTGTTCACAAACACAGTATCAACACACAATAAACATTTTATAAAACACTATTTAAACACGCTTCGCCCAAGATATTTTCGACAGGGTAGCATAGTATGCTATAACCGTTTTAAATTGCGTTTCTTTATACACAGGTGTTACACAAAACAATGTGTATATATTAAATTTTTTTACATGACATTTTCAAAAATTTTGATTTTTCATCGATAAAATCGCTTTCAAGATTTCTACAACACACGGAGAGACTTTTAGTTAAAAAAATTACTTTATCGTATTTCGATATTTCTAATAAAACGTAATAATTTAGGGATAATCGAGGTATAGTTAGAAGAATTCTAATAAAGATTATGAAAAGACATAGTCAACGTCACTTTTGGTAATAAGGTAGGGGTATACAAAATGCGTTACTAGGCACGTATATACGTATATAATACATATGTATATAAATATATACATGATTTATTATAATATTATTACACAATTCAATTGTTTAATCACTAATAACTTTTGAAACGGTTTTAACAAAATACTTTCAAGACGATGATGACGCTCGGTTGTTTGCTGAGTGTTCGTCTAACATTAACTGGTCTTCGGTTGTGGACGGAACTGTTTGGAAACCTTCGTGAAAATATTCTAATAAAATTTTGTAAAAATTCAAACTGCTTACCATTTCAGAGCGTGTTAATATTGAAAATAATACAGTATCTAAAATTTTTTTACATTTAATAGTATTCCAAATAGTGGGTTTACAAATAAAAATATCAGAATGTATTATAAATAATTTCCATATTCTCGTATTTGCAATTGTCTTAACATCAAATGATATTCTTTCTAAACTTTTATACTAACTTCTGTTCCCTAAAAATTACAATAGTAGATAAAAAAATAACACTACTTATTATTATAATAAAAACTATCATCATCGTACCTCGATTATCCCTAAATTCTTACGTTTTATTAGAAATATCGAAATACAATAAAGTAATTTTTGTAACCAAAAGTCTCTCCGTGCAGATAGGGACTTAGAAAAAATCACATTCTCTTCAATAGACATTTCTCTATAAGTGGAACCTTAAAAACTGTAAAACATAATACATTTCTCTATTTTTTCTATAAAAGAAATTCTGGATAAAAATATGTATTATTTTCATGTTTTAGAAAAATATACAATAAACAAATAGGAAAGAAATTAAAAATTTGTTTAAGGTTTCACCTTTGAAGAAATGCCTACTAACGAAGAGAATGTGATTTTTTATGTCTCAATCTGTTTTAAAAAACTTGGAATCGATCTTACCGATAAAAATCAACATTTTTGAAAATAGTACATTGCGTAACAATTGTGAATTAGCGGCCTTTCTGGAACGAGCGCTAAGTGTTGCGCACGATACTTTTCATAACAAAATAATAAAAAGGCGTTGACACTGAAAAACATATTTAATTAAAAATAATGCTAAGAAACACGTACATAAGATTCGGAACACATATCCAATGTCAAGCGTACGTTACTAGTTGAACGCGCGGAAGGGTTCGGGAGGTCTCTTCCCGACGGAATCCAGAGGCAGAGCGCTGATCAAGTTCGCGAAATGGAGGTTAAAAACTCTTATAGTATATGACAAATGTTGTTACACTGTAAGACATGGTAAAAGTAGGTAACTGAACGAAAACATAATCACGCCTCTACTGGACGGAATTGCAACAACTCGAGCGTTACAAAAATACTCGAAGAACCACAAACTGAACCATAGACATATAAGAAGAGACTGAGCGAGTTTCATAATTCCCATGAGAGGAGCAAGCCGGTGGTATAAAAAGAGACTCACTCCAAAGCAGCACAAGAAAAAAAAGTCTGACTCCGTTTACACCTTAAAATCAGCCCATGTATTTCACATAAGTCTATCCTTGTTTAACGGGGATGACTCCGTTTACACATTAAATTCAGCATCAAAAATAGGCTAAAATTAAAACTTTTTTTTAGTGTGATGCCGTGCGCTAGAAAGAGTCTGACAATCGGTTCTTCTGCTCTATCCGTCTCGGTCAAACGCATTGATGTCTCTTTCTATATCACAAGCTGCTTTTCAATCCTCTTGTGCAGTCTATTCTAATATGTCTATGAACTGAACTGTCATTCTAAAAAGAATCACATTACGTTGACCTGAGGAGAAACAAATAACGCCATTTTTATGATTGCGTTATGAAAAATTTCGTATATAGTATATTGTGTGAAATTGATGCACGAGCGCAGCCATTGCGGCAATGCCACAATTCGAGATACCCCTAGAATTTGAGTTATTTGACAGATAAAATCTCATTTAAAAAGATATAGCTAGAAAATAAAGGATAAATAAAATAGCACCATTTAAAAGTATATGGTCTTTTCGTTCATAGGAACAAGAATCTGGTTTTGCAGCAATGCAAAATCAGTCAAGAGCTGTGCCATGTGTTCCCACTGCTCAAACGGAAACTATGAACAAAGCCCTTGCTGGAGGACTAACTACTAGTCAACAAGATGCGGACGAAAAAAATATGCAAGGAAGTTCGATGGCTGGCCCAGCGTTTAGAGTAGCACCTCAAAGTCATCCATCCAATTACATATATACAACGAATATGCAAACTCCTCCTTAACCAATAACGATTCCAATTCAAGCTCATGTACAGAAAGCTGTTCACATTCAAGGCCAAGAACTATTGACTACTCCTTCCATGTCCGCCGCTGCTCGATTACAAGAATAGAAACAAATGTTAGAAAAACGTCTTTGTCCCTTGATTAAATGCATATATCCATAAATCACTGACAACATCACTGGTATGTTAATGGAGATCAACAATTCAGAATTACTGCATCTGCTTAAGCTTCGTGAGTCATAGAAGGCCAAAGTTGATGAAGCCGTAGCTGTGCTACAAGCTCATCAGGTCAAACAAGTTAGTTACAAAGACGGACTCAATTTATCTTCTTCCCTTCTCTTCAATTACTAATTTGTCAATTCTAATCTAATTATTATTACAATTATTATTTTAATTAACCTTTTGTTCAAAAAAATTGTGATCTTTTTATTTTTATCAAATGAAAACAATTTCATCTCTTGCTGATATTATGAATATAATACAGTGATTCTACGTAATGAAGTCTTTTTATTCATACGCACAATGATAGTCTATATTTTTAAATATCTGTTATTCTACATACTTAGACCCTTCGAACCACAATTAAAGTACAGATTATAATACCCAATAATTTATTTGCCTTTTAATTATTGTAGAATGTTAATAGCATTAATTTAACAATTTATTATTGAAGCAGATCTGGATTCAAACTTAAAAAAAGTGTAAATTCATTTGACAATTAAATATGCCTAATTAGAAGAATGAGTCAGAAACAGAATAATTTAATTAACGCAAGTTGTTCATATGTACGACTATAATTTGTAGTCCATTTAGAAGCATTAAAATTATATATTTACGAGAATTTTCCATATTTTTACACCATTGCAATCACAACTACGCAATGAGGTCATCCCGGCCAGGCAGTATTTTTAAATGTATGACATTCGATGTGGAAGAGTCCAAATTCTGTGTCTTTTCTGACATTAAGAATTCGAGACTGCGATTCTACGTTATGGAGTCTACAAGGCTAGTCTACATTTTTGAATATATGTTATTCTGCGTAGTTAAACACTTCGAGCCACAATTCAAGTACACATTACAATACCCAATAATTTATTTGCCTTTTAATTATTGTAGAATGTTAATAGCATTAATTTAACAATTTATTATTGAAGCAGATCTGGATTCAAACTTAAAAAATAGTGTAAATTCATTTGACAATTAAATATGCCTAATTAGAAGAATGAGTCAGAAACAGAATAATTTAATTAACGCAAGTTGTTCATATTTACAACTATTATTAGTAATCCCTTTAGAAGCATTAAAATTATATATTTACGAGAATTTTCCATATTTTTACACCATTGCAATCACAACTACGCAATGAGGTCATCCCGGCCAGGCAGTATTTTTAAATGTATGACATTCGATGTGGAAGAGTCCAAATTCTGTGTCTTTTCTGACATTAAGAATTCGAGACTGCGATTCTACGTTATGGAGTCTACAATGCTAGTCTACATTTTTGAATATATGTTATTCTGCGTAGTTAAACACTTCGAGCCACAATTCAAGTACACATTACAATACCCAATAATTTATTTGCCTTTTAATTATTGTAGAATGTTAATAGCATTAATTTAACAATTTATTATTGAAGCAGATCTGGATTCAAACTTAAAAAATAGTGTAAATTCATTTGACAATTAAATATGCCTAATTAGAAGAATGAGTCAGAAACAGAATAATTTAATTAACGCAAGTTGTTCATATGTACGACTATAATTTGTAGTCCATTTAGAAGCATTAAAATTATATATTTACGAGAATTTTCCATATTTTTACACCATTGCAATCACAACTACGCAATGAGGTCATCCCGGCCAGGCAGTATTTTTAAATGTATGACATTCGATGTGGAAGAGTCCAAATTCTGTGTCTTTTCTGACATTAAGAATTTGAGACTGCGATTCTACGTTATGGAGTCTACAAGGCTAGTCTACATTTTTGAATATATGTTATTCTGCGTAGTTAAACACTTCGAGCCACAATTCAAGTACACATTACAATACCCAATAATTTATTTGCCTTTTAATTATTGTAGAATGTTAATAGCATTAATTTAACAATTTATTATTGAAGCAGATCTGGATTCAAACTTAAAAAATAGTGTAAATTCATTTGACAATTAAATATGCCTAATTAGAAGAATGAGTCAGAAACAGAATAATTTTATCATCACGTGTCGTACATATTTACAACTATTATTAGTAATCCCTTTAGAAGCATTAAAATTATATATTTACGAGAATTTTCCATATTTTTACACCATTGCAATCACAACTACGCAATGAGGTCATCCCGGCCAGGCAGTATTTTTAAATGTATGACATTCGATGTGGAAGAGTCCAAATTCTGTGTCTTTTCTGACATTAAGAATTCGAGACTGCGATTCTACGTTATGGAGTCTACAAGGCTAGTCTACATTTTTGAATATATGTTATTCTGCGTAGTTAAACACTTCGAGCCACAATTTAAGTACACATTACAATACCCAATAATTTATTTGCCTTTTAATTATTGTAGAATGTTAATAGCATTAATTTAACAATTTATTATTGAAGCAGATCTGGATTCAAACTTAAAAAATAGTGTAAATTCATTTGACAATTAAATATGCCTAATTAGAAGAATGAGTCAGAAACAGAATAATTTTATCATCACGTGTCGTACATATTTACAACTATTATTAGTAATCCCTTTAGAAGCATTAAAATTATATATTTACGAGAATTTTCCATATTTTTACACCATTGCAATCACAACTACGCAATAAGGTCATCCCGGCCAGGCAGTATTTTTAAATGTATGACATTCGATGTGGAAGAGTCCAAATTCTGTGTCTTTTCTGACATTAAGAATTTGAGACTGCGATTCTACGTTATGGAGTCTACAAGGCTAGTCTACATTTTTGAATATATGTTATTCTGCGTAGTTAAACACTTCGAGCCACAATTCAAGTACACATTACAATACCCAATAATTTATTTGCCTTTTAATTATTGTAGAATGTTAATAGCATTAATTTAACAATTTATTATTGAAGCAGATCTGGATTCAAACTTAAAAAATAGTGTAAATTCATTTGACAATTAAATATGCCTAATTAGAAGAATGAGTCAGAAACAGAATAATTTTATCATCACGTGTCGTACATATTTACAACTATTATTAGTAATCCCTTTAGAAGCATTAAAATTATATATTTACGAGAATTTTCCATATTTTTACACCATTGCAATCACAACTACGCAATGAGGTCATCCCGGCCAGGCAGTATTTTTAAATGTATGACATTCGATGTGGAAGAGTCCAAATTCTGTGTCTTTTCTGACATTAAGAATTCGAGACTGCGATTCTACGTTATGGAGTCTACAATGCTAGTCTACATTTTTGAATATATGTTATTCTGCGTAGTTAAACACTTCGAGCCACAATTCAAGTACACATTACAATACCCAATAATTTATTTGCCTTTTAATTATTGTAGAATGTTAATAGCATTAATTTAACAATTTATTATTGAAGCAGATCTGGATTCAAACTTAAAAAATAGTGTAAATTCATTTGACAATTAAATATGCCTAATTAGAAGAATGAGTCAGAAACAGAATAATTTAATTAACGCAAGTTGTTCATATGTACGACTATAATTTGTAGTCCATTTAGAAGCATTAAAATTATATATTTACGAGAATTTTCCATATTTTTACACCATTGCAATCACAACTACGCAATGAGGTCATCCCGGCCAGGCAGTATTTTTAAATGTATGACATTCGATGTGGAAGAGTCCAAATTCTGTGTCTTTTCTGACATTAAGAATTCGAGACTGCGATTCTACGTTATGGAGTCTACAAGGCTAGTCTACATTTTTGAATATATGTTATTCTGCGTAGTTAAACACTTCGAGCCACAATTCAAGTACACATTACAATACCCAATAATTTATTTGCCTTTTAATTATTGTAGAATGTTAATAGCATTAATTTAACAATTTATTATTGAAGCAGATCTGGATTCAAACTTAAAAAAAGTGTAAATTCATTTGACAATTAAATATGCCTAATTAGAAGAATGAGTCAGAAACAGAATAATTTAATTAACGCAAGTTGTTCATATGTACGACTATAATTTGTAGTCCATTTAGAAGCATTAAAATTATATATTTACGAGAATTTTCCATATTTTTACACCATTGCAATCACAACTACGCAATGAGGTCATCCCGGCCAGGCAGTATTTTTAAATGTATGACATTCGATGTGGAAGAGTCCAAATTCTGTGTCTTTTCTGACATTAAGAATTCGAGACTGCGATTCTACGTTATGGAGTCTACAAGGCTAGTCTACATTTTTGAATATATGTTATTCTGCGTAGTTAAACACTTCGAGCCACAATTCAAGTACACATTACAATACCCAATAATTTATTTGCCTTTTAATTATTGTAGAATGTTAATAGCATTAATTTAACAATTTATTATTGAAGCAGATCTGGATTCAAACTTAAAAAATAGTGTAAATTCATTTGACAATTAAATATGCCTAATTAGAAGAATGAGTCAGAAACAGAATAATTTTATCATCACGTGTCGTACATATTTACAACTATTATTAGTAATCCCTTTAGAAGCATTAAAATTATATATTTACGAGAATTTTCCATATTTTTACACCATTGCAATCACAACTACGCAATGAGGTCATCTCGGCCAGGCAGTATTTTTAAATGTATGACATTCGATGTGGAAGAGTCCAAATTCTGTGTCTTTTCTGACATTAAGAATTCGAGACTGCGATTCTACGTTATGGAGTCTACAAGGCTAGTCTACATTTTTAAATATATGTTATTCTGCGTAGTTAAACACTTCGAGCCACAATTCAAGTACACATTACAATACCCAATAATTTATTTGCCTTTTAATTATTGTAGAATGTTAATAGCATTAATTTAACAATTTATTATTGAAGCAGATCTGGATTCAAACTTAAAAAAAGTGTAAATTCATTTGACAATTAAATATGCCTAATTAGAAGAATGAGTCAGAAACAGAATAATTTTATCATCACGTGTCGTACATATTTACAACTATAATTTGTAGTCCATTTAGAAGCATTAAAATTATATATTTACGAGAATTTTCCATATTTTTACACCATTGCAATCACAACTACGCAATGAGGTCATCCCGGCCAGGCAGTATTTTTAAATGTATGACATTCGATGTGGAAGAGTCCAAATTCTGTGTCTTTTCTGACATTAAGAATTCGAGACTGCGATTCTACGTTATGGAGTCTACAAGGCTAGTCTACATTTTTGAATATATGTTATTCTGCGTAGTTAAACACTTCGAG